ACACTGATCAATTCATAAACCCCTCTCGCTACCCTTTTCGAGTGCCATATCTGAAGGACCAGAGCAAACCATGGAATAATATCTGAAACTGCCACTCAACGTCCCATTCACACACACAGATCGATAAATCATCATTCAAGCTGATAGCCATTACAGTCCCTCCCTCCTTCATATTCACCCAGTACAATATTAATGAATGTGTCCATTCTGCTCATGAAATATCACTGTAGTCAATGCCTCTCTATAAAAAGCATAAGATTGGAAGGTTGGGGAAATTGCCATAATTTGTCAATGCTTCTATAGGAGAAGCGTTGGATTGGACCAAGATCATCAAGGGTGACGATCTCACAGAATGAGAGGAGGCCGTCCTGGAGTTGGGTTACAGTTACATTTAATGTGTTTTTTCATTATAAAGGGAGGCCCTGAATGTAAAACAATAAACACATCTCTCTCCCTCTCTCTCTTTCCCTCTCTCTCCCCCTCTACCTCCCCCTCTCTCTCTCTCTCTCTCTTTCTCCCTCCCTCCCTCAATCTCTCTTTCTCCCTCCCTCCCTCCTCCCCTCTCTCTTTCTCTCTCCCTCCTCCCCTCTCTCTTTCTCTCTCTCTCTCTCTCCATCCCTCCCTCTCCCTCTCTCTCTCTCTCTCTCCATCCCTCCCTCTCCCTCTCTCTCCTTCCCTCTCTCTCTCTCCCCCCTCAGAAATATCTTCATTGTTAATTTCTAGTGCTTAGTGAATACAGTGAGGAAATATAATACTTACTCCTTGATTTAATACACTTTCCAAATTATTTGTCTACAAAAATAGACAATAATGGTGACTTTTATAGATAAATCAATTGGAAAGTTTCGAACAGAGTTGAATCATTTGCAAAGCTTATTAAATCGAGGCCTTAGTGACAAAAATATTTAAATACTTATTACACTGTGCCCATATACCAAATACTGTGCCCATACACCAAACACTGTGCCCATACACCAAACACTGTGCTCATACACCAAACACTGTGTCCATATACCAAATGCTGTGCCCATACACCAAACACTGTGCCCATATACCCAATACTGTGCCCATATCCAACACTGTGCCCATATACCAAACACTGTGCCCATACACCAAACACTATGCCCATATGCCAAACACTGTGCCCATACAACAAACACTGTTCCCATACACCAAACACTGCGCTCATATCTAAACACTGTGTCCAAATCCCAAACACCTTGTCCATATACCAAACTATGTCTCCATATACCAAACACTGTGCCCATATACCAAACACTGTGCCCATATTCCAAACAATTTGCCCATATCCAAACACTTTGCCCATACACCAAACCCTTTGCCCATACACCAAACCCTTTGCCCATATACCAAACACTGTGCCCATACACCAAACCCTTTGCCCATACACCAAACACTGTGTCCATACACCAAATACTGTGTTCATATACCAAACTCTATATCGATATGCCAAACACTGTGCCATATACAAAATATCATGCACACACCCATAGCAGACCCCGGCATGTGACTGTAAAACCTCCTGGAGAGGAAAGCTGAGTTCCAAATTACACCCATCATGTTCTGCTAATATCACCCTTTCTGGGTCAGAGACACAATGCAGGAGGTTCTGACCAACAGGGAGGAAAGCAGAATAAGAAATTACTGAAAGTTTCAACTACAACTGTCACCTCAACACATCTTTTCATCAAGTTTTGAATAGAAATAAATTCTTGGCTAAATTTTTTTTAAAAATGATAAAAACTCATTCCCACATTTAGTCTATGATAGGATCCTTCGCCATATACATACACCTTCACCATATACATAAACCTTTGCCATATACATACACCTTCGCCATATATATACACATTCAGAATGTGACATTTATTGGTCTGATGACTGCACTGTGCACAGAGTGAAGCCGGGAAGACCATAGAGACTAACCATAGAGACTAACCATAGAGACTAACTGTCTGTATTCAAACACTGTCTGACCCAAGGTGTATGTATACGGCTGAATGATTCCATCATATACTAACGGCAGGGGAAGAGATTTTTCATAATTTTTCACATATAATTTATTTAACAAAGAATCAATTTCCTTTAAAAACTTGATGCAAAAATTATTATATTAAAAATAGTTTTAAAGTGACAGTTGTCCTCTAACACACCGTTTAATAGGGGAAAGAGAACGGGAATATCGAGGAGCGGACTAGGCATGTGCATGGGGAACATTTTTGGTTCGGTTCAGCATTCCGAAATTCGGGACTTCCACTGTGACGGACCGCTGGAACTCCGACTGAGTACCTCCGCCAATCGATGCTCCTAGTGCTCGCTGAGGACTCCAAGCACTGCAACCGACACCATCAGCACTGCAGACCCCACTTCCAGCGATGCAGCTGCGCCGGGGTCTTGCTGTCTCCACCCACCCTGGACCCAAGGCCAGGATCCAGCTTCCAGTGGGTGAACCTCTCTTTCCCCAGAGAGCAGGAACAAGCTCTTAGCAGAGCTTAGTGATCATACCCTGGGGAGTATAGTGATTATAGCAATCCCCAGAGTGTAGTTCTCCAATTCCCCAAACATGAGCCAAGGCTTCAAGAAAGGTACAAGATGATCTGGTTTTAATGACCACACACTGGCTTTTATGCAAGTCCCCATGCAAGGGGACATCCCACAGGGTGGGACACAGTATAACCAATCACAGACAATACAAACAAAACACTCCCACAGTGACATCACAATCCCTGCTCTCTATCCTGGAGATTATTGGGAAGTAATCAAATTATCTCCCAGGACAGAGGCAAGACTCCATTAACCACATGGTTACAAAAAGACATAAAATTACACAATGTTACAATTACTACATAAAACATATCCCTGCAACATATCCCCAGATAGCTTAGATCTGAGCGCACATTATTATTGAATGGCGCTCAGATCACATACATACAATTCAATTGCCATGGAGCCAAAGTCTTTTCCATAGTCTTTCGTTCCATGAATTGGCTCTGTAACGGATCACCTGGCACCCCGACTGGGTACCTCCGTTGAAGGATGCTCCTAGCGCTTCCTGAGGACTCCAAGCACTCTGGCAGACACCACAATCACCGAACCGAAGAAGCATATATCTTCTCCCAAGCATATGAATGCTGTATACAGCCGAATAGGAACCATACGAATAGGTTTACTCTCCTAGCAGTCAAACTGGAACAGCATACAATGAATCCTTCCCCCAATAATGAGACAACACTTCACTTTGAGGGTTAAAACAGGAACTCTTGTGCTGGCACACCCAGCCTGGTTTTTATAACAGCCTTTCACATACAGGACCGCCCACAGGGAGGTATAAAACAACCAATCACATCACAGTTACATCCCACATATTCCCTCCCCTTATCCTGAGAGGAAACTCAATTACACATACAGTTAAAACATACTTTCTACCCAACTTTCATAACTTTAAAACCATACATCACATTCACATAAAATTACATATTCACAATCAATCCATTCAGGGGAACAACATATTAAAAAAATGGCATGAATCCGACCAGGGGTTCAAAAGTTAGTAAAAGTATCTTTTGGGCCCTGGCTGGCACATGGCTCAAACAGGTTTTACAGAGCCCTCTATCCTGGAGACAAAGGGGAAAGTAATCCAATTATCCAGGGATAGAAGCAGACTCCATTGAGCACATGGGTGCAAAAAAGACATAAAACACTTTAAAATACATAAAGTCACCATTTACACATAACACACAGACATTTCACATATCCCCAGATAGCTGGGATCTGAGCGCACAAAACTACCGAATAGCTCTCAGATCCTATTCACACAGTTCAATTGCCATGGAGCCGAAGTCTTTAACTACACGAATGGGCTCCATGGCATAGCTATCTGGGTTAACACATTCACATAAAGTCTGGTCCATAGTCCAAAGGCAAGAGGCGGGCAAGCAGCCCCCTCCAAGGACACGTGGCGAGGTCGGTTTCGCCACAGGCTCCATGGCATAGCTATCTGGGGTAGCACTACTCACATACTGGAAGTCCCAAACAACCCGACAGAAATACCCAAATAAACTTTATTGCAGGGTAAAATACAGCTATCAGCACAGGGGCTATAGTTGGAAGGCAGGAGGCTAGCCAGTAGTCCCCTCCAGGCACAAGTGGCGAAGGGCACTTCGTCACATCCGCAATTCGGGACTTCGACATTTCGGCACTTCGGAACTTCAGCACTTCGGAACTTCGACAATTCGGAACTTCGACAATTCGGAACTTCGGCAACTTTGGCACTTCGGAACTTCAGGACTTTGGAATTTCGGGACTTTGGAATTTCGGGACTACAGCACTTCGGGACTTCTCTTGCAGCCGCTTAATAGATAACTCCCTAATTACCACAGTATTAGGGAGTTATCTACCAAAAGGCTGAAAGACCTAAATTGGTCTTTCAGCCAAATTTACTAGGCATGTGCATGGGAAAAATTTTCAGTTCGGTTTGGCATTCCGAAATTCGGGATTTCGGCAATTCTGCACTTCGGCAACTTCAACACTTCGGAACTTCAGGAATTCGGGACCTCTGCAATTCGGTACTTCGGAACTTCAGCAACTTCTGCACTTCAGAACGTCACTTGCAGCCGCTTGGTAGATAACTCCCTAATTCCCACGGTATTAGGGAGTTATCTACCAAAAGGCTGAAAAACCTAAATTGGTCTTTCAGCCAAATTTACTAATACTAAGTAAAAATTACTTAGTATTAGTAAATTTTGCCCCTACTCACTATACCGCGAGTAGGGGCATGTCTATTAAACAGTGAGCAGCCTGAGCGGCGGGTGGGGACCCTAAAGTAAAATGATGAGGGGGGACCCCTGAGCGGTGGGTGGGGGCCCTAAATCAGAATAAGGGGGCCCTAAATCAGAATAAGGGGGGACCTATTGTCCTCCCCCCTAGCCCCCACCCCTGAGCGATGGGTGGGGGCCCTAAATTATAATAAGGGGGGCCTAATGTCCTCCCCCTGGCCCCCACCCCTGAGCGATGGGTGGGGGTCCTAAATACCAATTAGGGGGGGGAACCTAATGTCCTCCCCCCTGGGCATTAGGTCCCCCCCTAATTAGTATTTAGGGCTCCCACCCACCGCTCAGGGGTGGGGGCCAGGGGAAGGACATTAGGTCTACCCTTATTAAAATTTAGGACCCCCACCCACCGCTCAGGGGTGGGGGTAAGGGGGGAGGACATTAGGCCCCCCCCATTCTGATTTAGGGCCCCCACCCGCCGCTCAGGGTTGGGGGCCAGGGGGGGACAATAGGTCCCCCCCATTATTTTACTTTAGGACCCCCACCCGCCTCTCATTCACATTCGAAACGAATTGCACATGTCTAGAGTGGACCACGATGAGACTGGCAGAGATAATACAATATCTGTGCAGCTGGGTAACTATCAGCTTCCCAAAAACAAGAACAAAATTGCACTCTCTGAGATACAATGTGCTCAGTTAACTGACTACCAACGAATTACTAGCAACTAATTAATACCAACTAATAAATACTAGCTAATATAAATTCATTACAACAAACCAATCAACACAAACTATTTACCACCAATTAATACAAACCAACTAATTACTAGCAACTAATAAATATGAAATAATATAAACTATTTACTACCAACTAATAGATACAAACTAATTAATACAACTATTTACTACAAACTAATTAATACCATCAAATTATTAACAGATATTTACTACAAACCAATCAACACAAACTATTTACTACCAACTAATTAATACTAACAGAGAAATGGCGGCCTTTAAAATGTTTAGTAGCTGGTTTATGTTTAGTTCACCAGATTAGGATTGAAATGGCGGCACACGTGGATGTATCCTGCGGCAGAGAGCGCGGTTTCGTTCTCGCAGTTGGCATTTTAGATGGATATGTAAGTACACTGTGCGCCCGGTCGACACCATGTTAATTAGCTCTCAGGAATCTTAATATCACGGTTATACAATGTGTAATTAATTTCAGGAATCAATAGCCTGTCAGTCACTCTCACATACTGAGCGCCATCTCTTTGTATGCAGACAGGAGATGCTGATTTGGGAGAAGGTTATTGTGAAACACAAGAGCCAGGGTACCTGTAAACGCACCATAATGCCTTTTTATGAAAGCGCTGTACATTATTTAGTGGGGGAATTATTTATTTATCTTGTTTGTGTCTTTAGGAAGGGTAACGAGAAGATGCACATGATGTGGGCTGCTTTTTGCGCTGGAAGGCAGGACGCCCTCACAGTTATCCGATGGCTGCAAGCTGATTCATCGCAAGTGGTTGGAACGCGACTGACCCTCTCATCTACAGTCTGCTCGCTGTTGCAGACCGGTTTCCATGGAAACGAGCAGGATAAAGTTTCTGAACTCGTCCCTGTATCCCTGCTTTACTGCACACAAAACACGCCCCCTTGCCATCCTTACCCCCAAACCACCCTGGACAGAAACACACCGAATATCCCAGACCTACAAAGATTTTTTACTTTTTTTTATATATTTACTTTTGTAATCCACCCAGATGTTTTGTAATAAAATCTCAGCAAAATGAATGTTGACTATCGCTCCCCCCCTACATGGGTAGGTCACGTTAAGTGCCAAACATCTTGCAAAGTCTTTCAATGCACAAATCAATTGCAGTGTACAATAACACACAGGTAACCAAGGCCGACAGTGGATTGAGGATAGAAAGAGCCGTACAAACGGAGGTCATAGACAGAGGTGGCGGGACGTTGGCGAGTCGTGATTGCAGGAAACAACAGCTTAGTGGAGGTGGGGGAAGGAATACAAAACAACTTGCTTCATATTGGCAGATAAAAGGAGTATTCAACCAGATCCCAACAGTTTGTGAAACGCACACAAAGAACAGAAATATTTATTTCAATTCAAGGAATTTTCCATCTATAGTCAAACACAATGGCAATATATTTAAATAAGTGCAATAATAAAATGTGTCTACAAATACATATACACAAGGGGACGAGGACACGCCATTTTATACACTGTCCCTTCAAGAGCCAAGGGAGTGGGGGGAGGACAAACTGTCCACTATAGAGAGATGGGGTGAATGGAGAGGGCGTCGGGCTGTTATTGTAATGGAAACCTAATGGGTTCAATGAACTAAACAACGATATACAGAGAGCTGACAAGTGACCTGAAAATATAGAATAAAAATTGCTTTTGTCCAGCTCGGATATTTTAAACTCAGTGCAGGTTGGTTGTCAATTCACCTTTGACTTGGGATTATTACTGTTTAGTAAATCTCTATAAAAACTCACCCCTTCTGCTTTTTGGGGGTATCAGAGACACCCCATACAATTTATTATAATATTTGCCTTATGCCAGCAACCTCTAACTGTGAACACCACAAACTACACCTTCGTTCTTCATCTTTAACTCTTCACAGTTTTTTTTTTTTACTTTCCAATTTGCAGTGAAAATTTGTATTCGCCTCTGAAAGTGAGGGTCCTGTTCGGATGCCATTCTGTGTTTGACGAATGTCAGTAATTCTGTACTTTGTAAGGAATTTAGATATTTTGGAGTGAGTGTTTTGCAGACATTCCAAGATAATCCTCCAAATGTACCTCACAATTGTCCTTATAAATAATATCTGACACTCGTTAAAATAATGTCCGCTTGCTAAGTTAAGGCGAAGTGAAAGTGTGAAGCTGACTCAAGTGGCACAAAGAGAATGGAAAATTGCTCTATTATTAAAATTAATATTTAAGGTTTAATAAAACATATGTAATTCAGGGTGGATTTACTGAGAGGGTAGTGGATGCATGGAATATCCTTCCAGCTGAAGTGGTAGAGGTTAACACAGTAAAGGAGTTTAAGCATGCGTGGGATAGGCATAAGGCTATCCTAACTATAAGATAAGGCCAGGGACTAATGAAAGCATTTAGAAAATTGGGCAGACTAGATGAGCCGAATGGTTCTTATCTGCCGTCACAATCTATGTTTCTGTGTTTCTGTGGCTGAGTTTAGGCAAGTTGGTTCAAGATGCAATAAGAAACAAATTTAAAACAGCTAACTAAATAGAAGGCATAAATCTGAAGTTAGTAACACAGTGGAAAAAACGAGATCATGCCAGGATTTGGACACATTAAGCTAAGATCCGATGAGCTCCATCGCAGCACGAGAACCAACAGTCTATAGAGAGAGTATAACCAGGTGGGACAGGACAGATGTCGTCTGAAAAAAGAGAGATTTTTTAGACAGCTCTAAATGGTTAAAGTGAAACTCCACTGTCACTCACTAAAATAACTGTTTAGTAGATATACCCCCAATGAAAACATGCATGCATTTAATTATGCATTTTTTTTAATGAGGGCATATCTAAAAACAGATCACAAAAGCTGCAGATATTTTGTTTGCAGCCTTTGTCAGCCCTCCTCTTCTAACCCCGCCCAGACTTTCTGTGCCTGTCCAATCACAGACTTCCCAATGCATTTCAACGAGAAGTCTTTGCAAGGCAGGTGCTCGGGGTAATTGCTGCCTCTTGAGCTTATCTCCACTGAGCGAAACAAACCAGGAAGTAATAGGACTGGGTGTCTGATTGACAGCCAGAGGGGTGAAACAAGGTGAGTTTATATAAGTGCCAATTTCTATTACAATCTGCTATATTTGTAAAAAGAAAAAAGAGAGCTCTTCACACATAAAGCATTTCAACAAACTAAAGTGCTTTAGGGTTCTGGCATGTTCCTTTAATGTACAAAGGTTGCTTTTCAGAGTGGTAAATGAGGATTGTCACTGAGAAAGGGAATTTTGTGCATTTAAGAATGAATTTCCACTTAATCATGTGAGGCTGAGGAACTTTTAGCAAGTACTTCGAAAGGAAAGCAGGACTGAAATTTAGTGCTTGCTCACTTGGGGCCCTAGAGGTACAATGTAAAAAAATAAACTAAAGAAATAGATAAAATGAGAGCAGATCCATTAGCTGGAGTTAAATTCACCTGTGGTCTGAAAACTATAACTCAATATCTCTCAGTTACAGAAAAAAATCATAACAATTCATTCAACACCCCAAAAGTACCCCAAACATCCCTGGGAACACCACAAGAGTCACATCCCCAATAGCCCTGATCTGAGCACCCAAGTTGGCCAAAAAGCGATCAGATCGGTTCAGGGGTATGGAATCGCCACCGGGGTAAAGTTTTGACTGGCTGACCCCGAGGAAGGAGCCCAGAATAGTTCCATGGAAATGATGGCAACGGCTGGTCTCGGTTTGGGGGTTCCTGTATGAAAACCACACAATATAGTCAAATGCTCCCTCCATTCGGTAGTTCCTATCTCCCAAACGCCGTTCATATAGCTGGGATGGACAGCGACTCCATCTTTACCGATGTTCGCGCGAGTGCTTGGCAGAAAGGAGTTCCAGGCACTCAATGACCATGTACCAGGGAGATAAAATGGCCACTATCCATTCTGTCGACCACGTGCAACCCAGGGGAGCATTTATTAATTGTTTTCTTTCTGGTTTCACACTTGATAATTGGTGTTCCACGTTCTAATGGGGTGCTGGGGTGGTCCTCGTTTGGTAGCCGAACTAGGGAATTAGAATGAAAATTCGTAAAGGGAATGGTGTTGATACAAGTGATGGAGTATTCCTTCACAGAATCCAATATTTTTCATGGACAGCAGTAGATGGACTCCAAACATGGACTGGAATTCTATAAAGACTGTGTCGAGATTTAAGGAAAGAGTTGGTATATATCTTTTCAGAGATAGCAGAGAGGATTCAAAAAGCAGTATGAAAGTCTCATTTAATAGAGAGACAGATGTCCTTGAGGTGTAATCAGTCTGGAGGGGGTAGACTATAATGGAGCTTGATGGCTCTTTAACATTTTATACTTTATAATGAAAATTGCATCTGCCCAGAGATAGGGCACTTTTAATATTCTGGAAGCAATTCTGGTATTTTTATTTCTCCAGATAAAAAGATTAAATATAAATTGAATGTCAGTGGGAAGGAAATAGAGACAGGAAGGGGAAAGAGAGTTAAATAAGTACAATAATTTCAATATTGTCATTATTTTTTAGGCTAGACTCCCAAATCTCTGCAATTCAGAAGATGACAATTTTCCTATATCACCATTAGTCGTAGCGGTTCATCTGCTAGCGTTCTGCAGTACACA